TTAGGACAAGGAGCTCAGCACCCGCTTGGGATAAAGCATTTAAACTGGGAAGAGAAGGCGGCTGTGGTATAGCTTGCCACAACAGCCAGGCAGCCAACAGGTGGAGCAACCTGGGAGCACACAATGGGGCAAAGAAAGCCACACTTTTTAATATTATCCCGCGTTAAAATAAAATGCAATCTAGAAATCAGTATGCGTTTAAGCTCACATAACTGATGGGCCAAGTTTTTTTTTTTTTAATTGTATTTCATCCAAGAAACTAATAATAACAACAGCAATAGCAACAATGTAATGGTACAAACAGAAGAAAAATGCAAGCCTCCAATCCAGTTGTTATACAACGATTGATAAGCATATGAACTTCTTGCCATATAAACCATCCACAGAAAATTTAAATTTAAAAATGAACAGGGAAAAAAGAGGAGGGGACTGCTTGGGAATACATATTGCAAAATTACTCGGGAGAACGTACTTGATCAGATTGCTCAGAGCTTCCTTCCCTGCCTCTCCGTTGATAGAAAACTAATCATTTCACAGTTTATCCATCTTCCAGCCCTCTTTGTGAGATGCTTTTTAATTCCCTTGTAGGATGCTATGAAAACAACGTCCCCACCAGCCACGACCCAGTCAATCAAAATGCTTTGCTGCCTCGTTCTGATGTATGGAGACTACAGAAGATCTCAAGGAAGGTTTTAAGCTTGGCAAATAGAGGGACATGCTATTACATAAATCTCTCTGTTTCATTTGGAAGTATATGCACAATGGATATGATCTCAAACCTTGGTCGGTTGGAGAAAGTATGCATTTAAGAAAACCGGGGCTTCCATTTGAAGTTTGTAGCTAGCCCAAAACATCTTCTCCAGGAAGTTTGCTGTTCATTAGAAAGTCCATTATAAATTTAATTTCCTTTGATGATAGGGGAAGCTATTGAAGCGTGGAACCTAGGCTCCGGGAGTGAGCAGATGAAACATTTTATTGCTAGAAGGCTGTTAGTGGGTGCAGCTCTAATTTGTTTTACTGTTGGTTGTTTCTCTGATTTTTTTTTCTTGCAATGTTCATTTGTTTTACTGAATTTTATACACTGAACTGGGTATTAGCCATCTCAGCAGCTTCATGGCCAAATGTGAAATAAACATCTTAGAATGGAAATGAAAAGACAATATTCTCCTCTTAACAACGAGAAGAAGCCCCTAAAGGCATTGCTCCAAATAAAGCTTTTTTGGACCTTCCCCCTCTGAAATCAGTCACTTTATTAGCCACGGCTAATTTAGTTGGATTGGGGCCAATGTGTAAAGACTATCTCTCTGTATACACCAAAGGGTTCATTTGTAAGTCTGTAACCAGCACCATGTAACCATCAAATTTTCTAATGCATTCACTCAGTGGACTTTTTTAGATACATCCATGGAAAAAAAAGGGGGGGGCAAATATTTTAACTTTAGCAGTAAGTGAACATGCACTGTCAGTAGGTCCCCATGGATGTTATAGTAAAATGTTCTTCCATGCCAATTAACCAACTCACTCACCTACTTGTGAAACTGAATATAATACCAGTTTCAAATTTTAACCATAAATTGTGGCACTTTGTGGGCTATTATTCAGCATTAAATCACTAAATGGAGATAGTTGGGCTTGAAGTTTTTAAAAGTTAATGAGGGGGATAGACACATTCGGGGGCGGGGCTTTTTGGCTTGGTTTGAGTGTATTTTTAATCACCTAATTTTTTTACCAAACAAAAGTGTTTTTTTTTCACATCTCTACAGCTCTACACACTCTCTGATGTTTATTTACACGATAGATTTATACCAACTGCAAGGCAGCATACATAATATTCTCTCCTCCAACAACAACCTTGTGTGATAGATTTGGCCAAGAGTGAGTCACTGGCAATCATCCAAGCTGGTTCCATAACTGAGAATGGACTTCTTAGTATTTTAACACCTTACTCTCTATGCTACACAAATTGTCTAGTTATATCAGTCTTATGAGGTAGACCAGATCAAGAAACTGACTCCACAAGAAGACCAGAACTCTACTTTATTGACAGAATCTTCCAAGTCTGCTTCTGTTTTACCTTCCCTCCCTCTTATACCCCAGGGGGTCAGGGAGGAGCCAGCCTGAACTGCTTCCTAATACTATCTCCTCTCCTAAGACTTAAGGAAAGCTTCTGCCCTTGTTGTTTCTCTAATAGCTTCTAAATACTCCCTTCAAGGCCATCTCCATGGCTCTCTGTGAGTTAAAGCTGAGAAGCAACTTAGAACCTGTAGTAGTCCACGTCTTTTTTTCAGAACTAATAAGACCTACTTCTCTGAGATCATCAACGCTTTCTGGAGACGTTTAATGAAAGCAGGATGGGGGATTTTGAGAAGCCATTTGCTCACCACACTACTGGGCAAAATGGCCTCTCCAAAGTCTCAGCAGGTGGCAACCCCTGGCCCAGATCACCTGATTTGAAAGCTAATTAGGGTCAGGTATGGTTAGGACCAGAATCATAGAACAATTCCAAAGAATGAAGACCTAGAAGGGAATTCTAGGGCTGGAAACTAGACTGTGGAATTGAGAAAAAAAAAAAAGATATCCTAGAGGAAGTTGTGTCCATGTACTCAGCAGCAGTCATAAGTAACTAGAAAGAGATTTCACTATGTAATAATTCAAAGAGTAAATAATGAGAGGAAAGTAACAGCAAAACATGTGAAGGAACAGTTATTACTTTTAATAAGGTTGGTCCAGGTAGAGTGCTCCCAGATTCAACCCATACAATTTTTTTTTTTAAATAAACAGCAGAGTCTTGTTTTCAAGCCATATCCATGCCCTTCCCTTCTAACACAGCTAGCAGAAAGTATGAACAGCCATAAAAATCTCATTTAGCAGATCCTGAATACTCTCTGGATAAGCACTGCAACTTCAGAAGAACCACAGGAGATAAAATACAATGGAGGTGAGGGGAGAAACCCAACAATTTGATGCAAAGACCCTGTTGAGGGTAGTACTCTATAAACGTCATAGGACCATGGCTGAGCAAGTTCTCCATGGAACACCCTAAAATACTTCCATTCAGGCCCATCATAAGAGGACAGGCTGAAGGTCATATTTGTTATATCTTGCAGATGTGATTGTTGACTGGCACTACCAGATAACCTTTTACTCTAGGCATGATCAAGATGCTTATCCACCCAAAGAATACAGTGTCTCCAATTACCAAGCATTTGCCTTGCTGTCTCACCCAATTTGCATGTACCATTATCTTATATTGTTTATAGCTGCCACCATTGTGATGAATAGTCAGACTGTTGCCCTGTTTCATTAAGCTAATTAGCCAGGCATTTTCATAATGTCATCTAAAGGACTTTTGGGTTCAGCACTTTGTTTAAGTGGTTAATGACATGGAAAACCTTCTTCCCATTAGCATCAAGTTCAACATATGATGTGCTGGCTAAAGAGATTGACGTCGGCAACACTCACCTTGTTGCAATGCCTCCTGTTCCCTGTGAAGAACGGCTTGACATGGAAGGCATGGTATCTCTCCAGATCATTTATACACAAATTAAAAAACAGCAGCCTGAACACTGACCCCTAGGAGATCCCACTTCAGAATTTGAAAATTGTCCATTGATTCCTACTCTCCAACTCCTATTCTTTATTCACTTCACAATCCATGACATCACCTGTCTTCTAAACCCAAGCTGCTGAATTGGCTTAATAAGAGCTAGCATGGTATAGCGGTTAGTGGGGAGACCCAGGTTCTAGTTCATGGAAGCTCATTGGTGGCTTGGACCAGACCTTCTCTCTCTCAGCCCCACTTTTCTCACAATAAACTGAAGAAAGATCCCCATGGAAGCCTCTTTGAGTTCTTAAAGGAAAGGCAGGATGTAACAGTCAAAATTGTTTTCATGAGTCATATATAGAATTAAGAGGGTTCATATTGGTCCAGATTTCTCAGAACTTTTGTTTGTTTAATTTATACCCCACCTTTCATTCAGGACCTCAGGGCATAGTACATAGTACTCACTCCTCTTATTTTCCTGCATTATGATATATTAATATAATATATTAAAGCTTTTACAGTCCACAGTATACTTTTGTCTAGGGAGATTCATCTCTGCCTGCAATAAGGATGCTGGGCAGCCTATTCCCAAAGAAAAATGGAATTATGAATTGAAAAGAAGGGCTGAATTATTACCATAATTGTTATTATGTGTGGCCCTTGATTCTACAAATCCCAAAACTCTTTGAACCTGAACATTGGGAATAGAGAATCAACTAGAAACAAGGAATATGAAGCATAAGCAGTGATCCTGCTGATACCTAAAATATATTGAAGACAAGTAACCACTATAAAACATAATCAATAAAAGTCCCTGTGGAACCACGTCATACTGCTTGATTATATAAAATAAATTGGAACAAACGGGATCATATGGATGTTTAAATCTACAGCTGCAGCAAGTGGTTGGCTAAACAAAAAAACCCCTAGAAATGAAAAGACTTACCTTTTGTTACAAAAGTAACAAAGTCTATTGTTGAATCAACACGACTAATATATCATTAGCCTTTTAATTATTATGATGCATACAAACATATCACTGCAATAAGCACAATATATTGTTTAAACAATTAATTAATAATGGTGGCATTCCCATGCACACTTACCAGGGGGTATATTCTGTTGCACTCAATGGGGCCCACTACCAAGGAAGCATGCATAGACTTGGGTTGCTAATCAAGATTAACTAGTCAAACCAAATCAAGCCATAATCACTTTTACTGGCTTCTATGTAGATGTAAAACCAACGTTTATAATAATGAAATCATTATAAATTATTTGGACATATAATAAATAGTATTATGACATTCATGAGATGTAGGCAAAATGCAACACTAGTTAACCTTAAATATTAAGCAGTAAATTTGTGTAAATAAACACAGAGTGTATTATACATAAAAACTGCAATATGGAGCATCACGTATGAAAATGAAACAAGAAAAAAGAATCTTCTTACCGTCAGTATGTACGGCAGACACATAAGTCCAGTTGTACCTCTTGACAATGTCCACCATAGCGCGGGCCTGTTGTGCATCTGAAGGTACCACTCGCATGAAATACTTGAATAAAGTCTTGTCACTTAAGTCCATGCTTGTGGCAGAGTAGGCAATCTGAGGTATGTTGAAAAGCTGCAACAGATTTTGGACCTGGATTGCCACGGAACTGGACCCAGGACCAATCACACCAACAATGGGCTTCTTGGAGTGGTACAGAGATGTAGAGCCATCAACACACTTCATCAGTCCTTCCTCTTCTTCCGCTGAGATGAGAGAATCACGTATGAATTCGATGCTCTGCTCAAGAGCAACCGCCGAATGCCAACACGAGTCCCTTATTTCACAGCCTAGGGTTATGTTTGGTAATAGAGTTTGGTTCTGATTAATACGGTCAAGGGTATGAAGCATTGCTTCCACTCTCTGGATTCCATATTGTTCTCTTACCTCTCCACATTTTCTCTCATGGACTTTGTCAACAGTTGGCTGATGATGGACAGAGAAAAGAGCCCCAATAATAATATCTCCAGGCATGTAGGCCACCACCCGTCTTTCATTGGACTGAGCAGAAACCAAAAGACTAAAGTTCCCCCAAACATCTTCCTTCAAGAACCAGATAAGAAGCAGAAGGAGCATTTTAGGAAGCTTGTTAAGCCAGTATTGGAAGCATGATGAGATGACAAAGTGTGACCATTGTTAAAAAGCAATCAGCGAGTCTTTGGAGGAATCGAAGCAATCAAGCTGATGGACAACTGGGTCTTTCCAAGCATTTTCTACACAATGGCTGACATCTTCTCTTCTGTTCAGAAGGTAGGATGCAATCATAATCTTCAAAATCTTTAAGAAAAAGATGATGGGAAAGTTTTTTTTTTTAAGGAGCACTTAAACCTCAAGTACTTCTACAGCTATTCTAGACAGAGCTCCAGCTTGTTTTTCCACTTACTAGAATTCTATAATCCAGGCAAGATGCAAACATCATCTATTCAAAATAAAACAAGCAGGTTACCTCCGAGCCCTTGATTGACTGATTGATTTGCAGGCCCGGAAATGAACTGAACGCACAATCCTTTTGGACAGAAATCTATTTCTGATTCCTTCAAGGTTGCCTTATTCTGGCAGCCTCATTTATTGAATTGCATTTATTTCACAGTTTTTGTAAACCCACCCCAGTCCACAGTTTCTGGATAGCATACAACTAAGTACTTTCTCTATTGCAACAGCTGCCTTATGGAACAGCCTCCCCCCTGAGATATGGATGGTCCTGACCCTCTTGGCCTCTTGACCCATTTGGAAGGCAGTCAATGCCTAGGTATTATCACGAGGATGTTAGGTTAGCCCATCAAGGCTTAAAAAGAGACTTTTTTCGTGAAATTGTTATATAGTGCCTCATTTTTTCTTCTTTGGATTATTCCAATTTTGGTGATGGGAGGTTTATACTGTTTTTGTACTGAGGGTTCACTACCCAGACATATTTGTTTATGACTCAGAGTTCTCAGTCAAGGTACAAATGACCAGGCTCAAATTACATTACTTGAGACACAGCGCTCTGCAGAAGACTCTAATGTTGGGAAAGATGGAAGGAAAGAGAAGAAGAGGATGACCAGCAGCAAAGTGGATGAACTCAGTTACATTGGTGAGGACTGCACCATTGGAAGACCCGAAGGACCAGGTTAGGGATGGAGAAAATCTATCTGTGTGGTTGCTAAGAGTTGACACCAACCTGATGGGACATTATCTATCTATCTATCTATCTATCTATCTATCTATCTATCTATCTATCTATCTATCTATCTATCTATCTATCTATCAAAAGATCTCTTTTTAAGCCTTGATTGAAATATTCAAAGGGAGTCTGGAATGAATGACAAGGTATGTGTCACTGGACATGCCATTATCTGTGCTTCATGTTGAGGACCCAGGCAATCAGGAAATGCAGGGAACTGCAGCACAGGGATGAGTAGAAACCACCTTTGGTGGTTACCATTGCTGTACCTCATTTCAAACTATAGGAGTGCTGCTGTGAAAAACCAGCAATCTTTATTGCTCTAATGCTAGTCTATAGGCTAGTATATGTTGGTTGTCATGGAATCTTTTGCAGGGATCTTTCAGAGATCCTTACAAAGCTATTCTTATGGAACTTCAAGGAAGGCTGTGCCAGCTATAAAAAATTCAGTGTGGATTTTTGTGCAAAGCGGCATCATTTTTACTTCCTTGTTTTGGCCTCTCTTACAATACACACCTTTATCAAAGAGTCCTGAAAAAGCCTAGATATTACTGCTCGTGTAGTGCTATGATTATGGACTTGCAAGGATGTACCTATCGTAAAACTCTGTTGTGGATGATTGAGCTTTGGAAGGCTTGGTGGTTCCAGTTGAGCTGTGCAACAAAGCTCTGTCATTTGGGTGCGCCACGTTTAGTTTAATTACAGCACAATCTGTTTTCTTCTATTGCAGCTCTTAACTGCTTATTGTATCCCTCCAAAGGCAATTCAATATCCTCTACAAATGCCGATGCATTTAAAGTACCTTCCTTAAATTAATAGGCTTCAGCAGAGTCTTATACCTGAATAGAATTTTCTCTTCCTACACATTTTTCAAAGGAAGGCTTCCTATTCCTATTCCTTTTTTTTTTCCCCCAGCTGAAAAACTCATTACCATGCTTATTTGGGAAAGCAGGTATCTGTCTGTGGGCTTATTTTAAATAACTGAGGATGGTCAGTGGGGCTCATCGTAGGGAGGGAACCATTGTTGGTTTGGACCAGGTACAGAATACAAGCAAAGCTGTAGGCACTTACTGATTAATATAAAACTACAGCAAAAAGTGGTAGGAAAGGAGAAACGATTTAGCTATGGGAGGTAAAAATTAATGTAATAAATTTATGACAGAAGTAATTAAACTAAAGTTTTGGACTGCAGTTCTAATTATTCCAAATCATTGGCCCCAGTAGCTATGGCTTAAAGAAGTTAAAATTCAATATATCTGCCAATTGCCTACCCATGCTGTCAGATGTTTCCCAACAGTATGAGTTCAGCTACTTCTTTTTTTCAGAAAGTACTATTCCTGTCCATCCAAAGATCGAAAGATCGAAAGATGGGATGATGGGAAGGAAGGAAGGAAGGAAGGAAGGAAGGAAGGAAGGAAGGAAGGAAGGAAGGAAGGAAGGGAGACAGACCGACCTAGATGTATAAACATAGGTATGTGTCACCTCTGTATGTGTGTAGATGTATATCACCTACTTTGTGTATACAGGAGACGGTCTCAATAGGTGGCAGTTTAAGTTGGACTGGAAAGCTAAGCAGTGCCAGGCCTGGTTAGTTCTTTGATGGGAGATCCTCAAGGACTCCCATCAAATTGTGAACTAGACTGTGAAGTCGGAGGAGGAGGAGGAGCAGCAGCAGCAGCAGCAGCAGTAGCAGCAGCAGCCATCAGTATAAACAACCTCCATTGACTACCTGAATGTAGTTCTCCAGGAGTCAAATTTGACTCAAAGGAGACTTTAAAATGGAAGGATGGATGCTATCTCATTATATTTTGAGACACTTGCAAAGCTTAGAATCACTCTGTGTTTAGTGGAAGCAGGATTCCTGTATTCATTTTAAAAAAAGAGGAGGAGCGGGGGTGGGGGAGGAGGGAAGATTGTATTGGACCAGGCCAAATATCTATGTAATCTATTATCTTGCTTCCCAAAGCAATCAACAATGCCTGACTTGACCCTAATGAACAGAAATTGAGAGCACTAAGCTTCTGAACTGTTATTCCCCTGCAAGGGTAGTCAGAGGTATTTGGTCTTGGAGGTAGTATACAGCCATTAATAGCCTTGTCCTACACTAATCTGTCTAGTTCCCTTCTGAAGCTATTTGGAGGCCATTAATGTATCCTCTATAGCTGAGCTACACAATGTGCAAAATTTTTCTCCCTTTTTGTGGTCTTGAGCCTCCCTTCACTCAGCCTCTTGGATGACTAGAATACTAGGTTCTAATATTACAAGAAAATGAGCAAAAATCTCCATATATCCCCTTTCTTTATACCATACATAATTTTGGAAAATGCTAGAACATTCTCCTCTCTTGTACTGATTTTTTTTGTTGTTGTTGTTTCAAGCAAAATTGCTTTATGTAACCTTTATGTAACCTTTCCCAAAGGGAATTTTTCCAGTTCCTCATTTGTGGTAAGCTATACTGTCATTAATATTGGACATCCTAATTCCATCAGCAAATTCCCCTCTCCTCTCCAAGGCAATAGGGAAGATTTACAGTTTTCTTGAAAGCCTTCTTCAGCCATCCCCTTCATAGGCAGTGAACCTGGACTAGGAAGGCTTACTTTACACCAGAATTCACAGGCTAAAGTCACACAATATATTGAATCTGGTTACAAAACACAGTTGCTTTGTTTACATAAGATGCCTTGCCTAAATAAATAAATTGGGTATGACAACAGGAAAGCTTAGTTTTCTCCAACATGCTAAGACCATGAAAAACTAAGTGGGATTAGATCTCAACTAGATAGTCTAAAGTAGTGTTTCTCAACCTTGGCAACTTCAAGTTGTGTGGACTTCAACTCCCAGAATTCCCCAGCCAGCCAAGGAATAGGGAAGGAAGGAGAAACCATTAAGATGGACTTGCAGAAGAGATTATTCAATCCTGAGAAAGATGGAAGGATGAGAAAGAAACTCCAAACACCCTCACCAGGATTTTGTTTAGTATCAGATGGGACAAAGAGAAACTTGGACAGGTTTTCAAGATTCGGTTCTTCCACCTTACAAGAGCACTCGTGGAATCCCTACCAGCCTGTTTCTTGACCAGGCCTACCTTGAAGGGTTGACATCAGGACACCACCTGTTCATCCCAGCTTTGTAGGCTACATGGGAAACTAAAACAAAAAATCCCAGAAGAAGGCAACCATAAACAATTTTTATTATCCACAAAGCCAGATGGATGTGCCTCGGTAGTTGAGCTTTCCAGGTGGCAGCATCTAGCTGGATGAGGATGAAATACTGTGATTGGATAGTCCTAATGAAGGTGAGGAAAGTTGTTTTCTTGCTGCTTAGCCTAAACAGACTTGGCAAAGGGTAACACCTACATAATAGACTGGCCCACCATTTGTATAGCATGAGACCCACAACTTTGTCCTGTTGTTTCCTCTCCTTCCCTCAGGGATGGTCCTGAATTTCATCCCAGACACATCTACAAAACAGTGACTCAGTTGCAGCTGTTAAACTCCAAAGAGAGCTGCATCCTGCAGAGGAGACCTGTGTGGTCAACTGCAGTGATGTGGCAAAGGAGTCATAGTGCCCCCCTCCATTCAGCAGGGTAGCAGACAAGCCGAGCAGCATCTTATTCCTTAGGAACAGGGTGCTGAGGCATTTCAGAGAAACATTTTGAAAGGACACTTTGCTCAGACCTCTGTGGACACACAAAAGTGCTTTGAAAATCTGCATGGCCCCAGGTAAATATGACTGCCTGCTCAATCATACTATCTGAATATTCCCTTGTGAGCAACAGACATCAACTGATACTTTGCATCGATGTGGCAGGGTGAAAATGGACCAGTGAACCAATTTCACTTTCTCCCACCCTTGTTGTTCTTTGGTTTGGTTTCCAGTA